GAGTAGCAATGAAGATGATATCTAGAAAATAAAGGAATCAATTTTCTACGGTGAATATATCGCGACTCGTAGCGCCTGCTGCCCCAGAACGATAAACTGACGCGACGTAGCGTGAAAGAAAACAATCACGAGGAAAACGTTATAATATTAACACGTTATAATATTAACACTAGAACTACCAACGATTAACGACCCCTTTCTGCCAAAGTGATCAACAGGTTCAAACCAATAGGTTATTGAAAAAATATGCAAGGGAAATAAATAGGAAATAAATAGAAAAGGGAATAATAATTTAAGGGAAAAAATATTTATTTATTCTTCAGTTTTATTTAGTGTCAATTGAAAACATGAAATGCACTTATAAAATGAAATAATTTTTATGAGAAATTATTTATCTATTTAGAAATTTTGTTATTTATTTATTTTTTAGTTTTATTTAACGCGCATATAAAAGACACTATTATACATTTGTGTAATTTCTATAGAAGTTATTTATTTAATTGGAACAATTTAGAAATTTTTTTATTATTTTCAGTTTTATTCAACGTTCACTAAAAATATAAAATACACCGTCATAAATTTGAGTAATTTTTAAAAGAAATTATTAATTTATTTAGAAATTTATTTTTAGTTTTATTCAACGTTCGTTACAAATATAAAATGCATTATTATGAAAATTTTTTAGAGATTTTTATAAGAAATTATATATTTACTTATTTCGAATTTTTTTCATAAATTTCTGTTTAGAAATTCATAGAAATTTATAGAAATTTATAGAAATTTCTATTTAGAAATTTATAGAAAGAAATCTATGTTCAGAAATTAATTTATTCTTTCCAGTTTTATTCAATGTTATTTAAAATTATAAAACGCACCGTTATACATTTGAATTTTCATAAGAAATTACAAGCCAGTCATTTTGACTGTTTTAGTAATTTAATGTTAGTTTGATCATCTGTGAAAGCGCGATATGTCCTTCGTGCACCGGCTCTTGGGGGTTAGAAGAAATTTCAATTACATGTTGCGCGATACAAGAGAAGATAGTTGATGAATTTCACTTGTACGGTATGTCGCGCGAGAACTGTAATCACGCCATAAGACGCCATGCACAGGCTGAAAAAGAATGCCGTAACAAATGCCCGTGAAACGGAAGACGTTAGCGAATCCGCATGCTGATTGACTCCTGATCTTGAGAACATGTTGCGTCTCGACACGCCGCTTTTCATCACGCATCCGAGAAAAATCGCGTCACTCTTGTGCTTCAGGGCATTCGGGACCGTTGTTGCGCTCGTAATCGCCTCTCTTACTGCCCCCGGCATTATCACAGATGCCTCGTTGCAGTTGCGAGAGGGAACTCTCACCTTCCGGAACGGAAGGTGAAGTCTCCGTTAAAACCCATTAATAATTTTGTGTCAAAACGCGTACTCGCGCACCTGAAAATTTTATAGAAAGAAAAAGACTTTTTCTGTAGACAAATAAAGAGATTGACTTCTTTCTTTTAACATTCAACGTTCATAAAAAATATAAAAAGCGTTATTATAAATTTGAATAATTTTTACAAGAAATTATTTGGAAATTTTTTTTTAATTTCTATTTAGAAATTAAGATTTAGAAATTAAGAAATTTCTATTTAAATATTTATTCTCTTCAGTTTTATTCCATATCCATAAAAAATATAAAAAGAACTATTATAAATTTGAATAATTTTTATAAAAAATTATTTATTTATTTATAAAAAATTTTGTTTAGAAATACAGAAATTTCTATTTAGAAATTTATTTGTTCTTCTCAGTTTTATTCAACGTCCATAAAAAATATAAAAGATACAAATTTGAGTAATTTTTGTAACAAATTATTTATTTATTCAGAAATTTTTTATTTATGTTTCTCAGTTTTAAACGTTCATAAAATATAAAAGTAGCGTTATAAATTTGAGCAATTTTAAAAGAAATTATTTATTTATATTTAGAAATTTATGTTCTTCTCAGTTTTATTTAATGTTTATAAAAAATATAAAATACACCGTTATAAATGTATGTAATCTTTATAAGAAGTTATTTATTCATTCGAAAATTTCTTTTTCTGGAAAGTGTGAGAAACTTACAATCTTGAATCACGAAGCAAGATCACAGAGATCGCAGGCTGGATTTTTGAAAGGATTTCGTTCTGGCCTGTGTGATTCGCGACCGCCACGGCCTCGTCGTCGTGTCGATCCTCCCGTCCGATACCGTCCGCGTGTACCTCATTTGCAAGCCGAAAATAAGTCGCTCGTATCGCCGAGGATCTGCACGATTTCGCGTGAGTTATCAGCGCGGTCGTCAGCGTCGACCGATGAGTACGGGATGCGCCGATCGTATATGTTGATCGGCTACCACCGAATGGTTAATTAAGCGCATCGTACAATCGACGATCAATTAGGTGTTCGTGTTCACGCGTCATACGTGTGTGTACGTTTTCATGGAGTTAATTAAGGAATCTAATCAGCGAGAGCGCGCGCACACACATCGACGACGATGTCGAACGTACGACTATTCTGGAATTTCATCGTAGCCAGTCATCTGCGGTCGCTTATTAATATTTTACGATGCGATTGGCACGCGCACGCGGGTGTATCCGTTTGACGGCGACGACGACGATGGCGGCGAAAAATGCGAGGTCCACTTGGGGAAAACGCGTGCGAGATAAATTGGCTAACGGCATCGCGATAGGAAAGCCAATTTCATTGGGATTTTTTCAGCGGGATCGCGCGACGCGCACCATGAGTTATGCGAAATCGTACGTCCGATTGTGAGGATCGACTTTGACCTCGTCGCAGTCGATCATTATTGCGCGCTACGTCGTATAGTGGCAAAGAAAAATGCGGATGAAACACCACTATGCGCGCGTTCACGCGGCGCGTCGAATTGTGTAATTGAGGCGGCGGATTATCAATCGATTTCATCGATTTTATCACACGCAATCGTACTGATACGATGTACTTTATTACGGTATTGAGACATGTGGTAGCGGCTCACGCTATCCACACAGACAGGTGTATGTAAATTTGACGGATAATTTAATCACGATTTGTAAAGGTCATGCCCCTTGAGTGGTTTATATACTCGGAGAAAGATTTGGTGATGGTAATCATGTAGAAAGAGGTGACAACTATATAAGTTTGTGCAGGTAGAATTAATATAGTTCAATAATCTATATACATTATAATTCGATATTTAAATATATATATTTGTATATGTTATTATGAACATTATAATTCTACAGTTAATATACATAGTTTATGATAAACTATATATATTATAATTTTATACTTAACATACATAATTTGTATATATATATATATAATATAAATGTATAACATATATAATATGCATTATAACGTTATAATTTTATAATTAGTGTATATTGTTTAATAAACTATTTAATAAATTATATATATTATAATTTTACATATATAAAATTCGTGTAATTGTCATCTGTATAGTTACCACCACTATGTCTTTCCCTCTGAATGAACGGCACATTATTCACATGGAGTTACGAAATTAAGATACAAAAGAAATACGTGGAAAGAATTACCAAAATTTGAATACAATTAACGAGCTCTCAGATGTGCAATCATCAATAAGAGAAAAAAAGTCGACACAGGATGTTAATTGTGAATATGTGCGAATATAAATATATATCATTATTGTCTAGACGTTTCAGTCAACATTTTTTATCTTCTTCAGCAAAAAACAACAAATTACAATATAGGATTCCGTATAAAATACTCACGTCTTTTACGGGAACAAACGCTTTCCGGACGTACATCGCTGTAATTTTTAAATAACAATAATAATAATATACCATAAACTCTAAATAAATTATTCTAAGAGAATTCGATTTCCCTTTGGAATTCTCGCCGATTTATTCGCCAAAGACGCGCGATTTACCCCTCCGATTCGTCCGAACGGAGGTCCGATCGTTGCTTTAGAGGAGGCTCAAACTGTCCAGGCAATTTCTTTGGACGGATGAAGAGATAATGGGTACACAAAATGTCTGCGAAGACTCTGACACGTGTACCTCGCGATCTGTCGCAAGATAATTACGAGAAAAATGAAAGCAATCGCTTCCTGTGCGTGTGCCCGCGCGGCGGCCGCGCTGCGTTTGAAATATATGACCGAGGTGCGTGCGTTCCGCTGTACGGCATCAGTGCGCGAGCAACCATACGTATCACGATCGCTATCAACTCAATATTTCACGCCAATGTGGCAGCCGGCGGTCAAATCCGGCGGCTGCGATTGTAATTGAGGTGAACCGAGTCAAGTCGAGTCGGGTTGAGTCGAGTCGGCGCGTTGCAAGCGGCCCAGGAATAGGAATCCTGTTTTTCGGCGGACCCATAATCGTAAAAGCCGTCGCCAACCTGTTCCTTGGACAAGCTTACGGTGATTCTAGCATTGGCCGGCCGGAATCGAGACACTCCGCGCGAATTCTCCGACTCGCTCGCCGATCCGTTCTGTAATACTTATCTGGCGTTGATAACGCGTTAACCTTAGAGCATCACACTTCTTTCGAGCCCACCACACCAGGTGTAGTGTGTGTGTGCACCCACAGCCACTTCAACTATCAATATTTCCTCGGAAAGTGGACGTTTCTCAACATATTTTTTCTTACACCGAAATGGAATACGACTATATCATTAACCACGATTGAGATTTTATAAAAAAAAAAAGTTAAGAGAGTTAAGTCGCAAAAGAAGCCGAATAAAATTTTTCTTCATTATCAAAAGGTTATTTGAAAATTTATAGTTCTTTTTTGTAACACCGCGTATTGTATAAAACTAATTATCATTTGTTAAAGGTAAAGAATGTAACTTTTCAGAAAGAAAGATTAAACAATGATTTAAAGAAAATCTATATTTTATCTTAACATGAAAAATTTTAACGTCAAGAGTGATTTCTTGCTGCTAAACAGCAGATGGGGCTGTACAGCAGGGGAGATTTGTAGAGGGAAGACATATTGAGAAAAAACCCTTTGTCATCAGAACAAAAGCACGTTTGCTGTTTGATGATCGTTAGAGAAACAAATCAAACACTTACCGTTGTTAATCACTTCTCATCATTTGTCATTTTTACAAACATACGTTACCTGATGCAATACAAATCATTTGTCTTAGGTCAGATTCATTTTTAGGTTAGGGTTAGAGTTATGCTCCAATTACACAGAAGTGTTGCTTAGAGCAGTAAACTAAAAGTAAGAAATTATTTGTTATCAGTGCAGGATCATTTTCTGCGGGCACTAGTATTTTGTTAAATTAGCAAAATTTTTTCTCTTAATGTCAAAGTTTCTTAATCCCCAATCTAGACTATTTCTCATTGTATAGAAACGGCGGGCATTTAAACAATAATATGGGTGTGGTACATTCAAGTGTAATGTTCTAGGGTACAATTAAGAACCCTGCAAAGGATCCATTAGCAATATAGCAAGTTACGGGGAGCCTAAGCGCTCCGACCCTTATTTGATTTATCGTATTGCTGCATTACGAAGCGCGAAATTGCTCCATTTCGTGTCGATAAGCAGACTGCTCTTAATCGGCATCTCGCTCGCGGAACGATACGCTAGTCCATTCGTTCGAACCGCGAACGTGTGAATAATTGCTGCTCTGGACGTTTATTGAGAATCGGCGATTTACAGCTGATTTCCGGGATTTTGCGATATGGAATTGCTAATATGAGCATTGCATCGGCGCGATCTTATCCTACGGATCTCCATCGGTAGAGACGACTACTCCGACATACCAACGAGCTTATTTATTTGACAAAGTTCAATAACAACCGCGATATATTTTGCACAGACTTTGCGCCGAAGTACTCACTTTATTCGCGATCGGCGCGATACACACAGCCGGTTTGCGTAGGTTATCGGAACTCGCTGCTGGCAACGAAGAACTGGTGGTTGCGCTACATGATTGCGTTAACTAAGAGCTGGGGGTTGCCAGATTCACTGATCGCCTTCCGACTGCATGGTGCTCAGCAGAGCGAAGAAGGAGTACGAGCCCCGCATGATCTACGAAAAGTCACCGATGACACTTGGGATAAACCATCGACATCTTCCGCGCGACCGCTCTCGTGATGCAATCGCGAATGATGAACGACTCGGCCGGCGCCGAAAGAGGCGAAAGAACGCGCCGCGGTGAATTTAACTGTTCGTAACACGACGATCGATCGTCGTGCAGAGTCGTTCGCTGAGTTTCTGTGACCGGTCGCCATGAAGTCGTATGGGCTCTAGATGTTGGAGGTTGGAGATTGCAGAAACTGAGTAGAATCTCAAAGACACGAATATATAAAATTTTCAGACTAACAAGTAAACCTACTCAAAAGTTACACTCCAATTTTTTTCTAATTTGGCACAAATGTAGAAGTACAAAAAATATTTAGCTTATATTTTTTCATTTAGGCCCACTTTGAGTTTTACGGACAGTTTATAGCTTTTTAATGTTCTCACTCTTATTATCAACAAGTGCAAAAAAATGTATAAGAAATTAAACTGAATACAGGATATAGGCTTTTTTGGTTTGTTGATTATAAATATGAAGTCAAATGTATTATTTGACAAAAAATTATTAAAAAATAATTAAAATTATTTGTATAAATAATAAAATATTTAAACAAAACATGTAAAAAATTGAAAAAAATTATTTATACAAATAATTTCTCGGTTTGGCCGAGATCCCAACCATTTTGACTAATTTAGCACAGATTTGAAATATTTCGGTTGGAATCTCGGCTAATAAAATTTAAGCCGGTATTCATAGTCGAATCTTATTTCAAGACCGTCTTAAGTAATGTCTTAAGATGCGAATACGGCTCTATAATCTAGAGCCGATCATATAATCATGATATCTTAAGATAGTACTTAAGATAATCTTAAATATAAGATCTGACTATGAATACCGGCCTTAGAATGCTTTGTGTCTCAGTTATGCCGCTTTTGTTAAAATTTTAATTAAAATTGCTGGATTTCTCTCTCTCTCTCTGTCTCTCTCTCTCTCTCTCTCTCTCTCTCTCTCTCTCTCTCTCTCTCTCTCTCTCT